TCCACGACGTGACGCCGACTTGTTCCACGACGAGACGCCGGATCGTTCCACGACGTGACGCCGACTTGTTCCACGACGTGACGCCGGATCGTTCCACGACATGACGTCCACGACGTGACGCCGACTTGTTCCACGACGAGACGCCGGATCGTTCAACGACGTGACGCCGAATCGTTCAATGACTTGACGCCGACTCGTTCCATGACGTGACGTCTGATCGTTCAACGACGTGACGCCGGATCGTTCCATGACGTGACGCCGACTCGTTCCACGACGTGACGCCGACTCGTTCCACGACGTGACGTCCACGACGTGACGTCCACGACGTGACGTCCACGATGTGACGCCGACTCGTTCCACGACATGACGCTGACTCGTTCCACGACATGACGCTGACTCGTTCCACGACGTGACGCCAGATTGTTTCACGTCGTGACGTCCACGATGTGACGCCGACTCGTTCTTTTGACGACGTGACACCGACTCATTCGGCAACATTCTGACCCGAGTCTGTGGAAATAGTTTTGCACTAAAGAAACGCTCGACTCGTTTCCTTCATCTCAGTGTTCAATAAGCAAAAAGGGCCGAGTCTCCGAGTGTCAGGTTTTATTTTATACCGACGACTAAAAGATGTTCGTTTCAGTAATCCAGTAATCCTGTTCGAGAAACAGATTGAGACTTGTTTTACTGCAGTCATCACGTTTTACTCCACGTTTATTAATCATTCCTGAACGGGACGAACATGATCAAAAGTAAAATAAAGAATTTATTTTAAATTAATGAGGTCCACTGATGTCAGACATCAATCATATCTACTCTTAAGTTTCTACATCAAACATTTCTTACTTGATATTATTTTAGAATATTTTTTATATAATTTGTTTTGTTTTGCAGTAAATTATGTTTTTACTTTAATCAGCTCATCTTTTTAGATGAAAACACGTTTTCTTGCTCGTTCAAATGTTTCTCATTCTTTCTTAGATTTTTGTTGGTTTGTTTGTACAAATAAAAACACAAACATCAAAACAAACAACAAAATAAAACAAACAAATCTGTTTTTATTGGATGGAACGAGCAAAAGCTGTTTGTACCAATAAAGGTCTGTTTTGTCCATCACACAAGGCGTTTGAGTTTGTTTCAAAAACAAAATTTGTAATCATGTAAGAGGTTAGTCAATAAAAAATAATTAAAATTAAAAATATATAGTTTAAAGTGAATTTTAAATAAAATGTTTAATATTGTGTTATCCTGTGCAGAGATGAATTCTGAGTCCAGTTCGGTGGCCTCAGGATCCATCTCTGCTCTTTGCAGATGATGTGATGACATCATCGTGCCGTGATCTTCAGCTCTCACTGGAGCGGTTCACAGCTGGGATGAGAACCAGCACCTCCAGATCTGAGACCATGGTCCTCAGTCAGAAAAGGGTGGATTGTTCTCTTCAGGTCGAGGGTGAGGTTCTGCCTCAAGTGGAGGAGTTCAAGTATCTCGGGGTTTTGTTCACGAGTGAGGGAAGAATGGAGCGTGAGATTAACAGACGGATAGGTGCAGCATCTGCAGTTTTGCAAACTGTTCTGGTCCGTTGTGAAGAAGGAGCTGAGCTCTCTGTTTACAGGTCGGTCTACGTTCCTCCCCTCACCTCTGGTCATGAACTCTGTAGAGACTGAAAGAATGAGATCGTGGATCCAGGAGGTTGAAATGAGTTTCCTCTGCAGGGTAGCTGGACTCTCCCTCAGAGACAGGGTGAGAAGTTCAGTTATCAGGAGAGAATCAGAGTAGAACCGCTGCTCCTCCACATCCAGAGGAGCCAGTTGAGGTGGTTCATCTGGTAAGGATGCTCTCATGGTGCCTCCCTCAGGAGGTGCTTCAGGCATGTCTGACTGGGAGGAGACCCAGTGGAAGACCCAGGACACGTTGGAGAGACTGTCTCTGTTGGTTTGGGAACACCTTGGAGTCCTCCCAGAAGAGGTGCTGTGGAGAGAGATGTGTGGACCTCCCTGATCAAGATGCTGCCCCCGAGTCCTGAGTCCAGAACAAGAGGAAGATGATGGATGGATGTTTTATGTTTGTGTGTTCACATGTTCACTTTGTAATGTGTGAGCTCCATGAGACTCCAGTGTGTGGTCCACAAACTGACCTGCAGAAGCAGACGTGATGTGTTGCACGTAAGATGCCACATAAGCATGTCGGGCCACTTTCTCCTGCAGTGTGAAGCTTTACCAGCACTTGAAGTTTGATAGGGACACTGTGAGTTTGGACCTACGACCAAACCACGTGTCCCGCCTGCTCTTGAGAACTGAAGCCAGCAGGAAACTTCACAGGAGCTACCGTGTTGTATTTCTAGTACCAGCTGCTGCGTACTGGTGAACTGGGCCTATAAGTCCCGCCTACTCACCCGCACAGTCATGGAGTCCGGTGTGTGCCGTGATGTGCGCTCTTACTTTTATTGACATTTGGAGTTACCATAGCAACAATATTTGCAAAGACGCCATTTGTCTCAGAAAACTGACTGTACCTCAGTCATCCTTTGAGCTCCTGAGCTGAAAGTTAGTACGGTTGTAGCTGAGAGTGAGTTGTTACAGTCCTGGTGCAAATCAAATATCCAAGATGGCCGCCTTAGCTAACAAGGAAAATATGACTCGGCCATTTTTCGAGCTGTTCAGCTGCAGCTGGGTGTACTGGTAGCTGAGAGCAAACCCCAACACACAGTGCTGTCAAATTAACAATTGAAATCAGCAGCATGGCCGTCGCCGTCACTTTCTCCAGGATCTTTCTAGTTTATGTTTATTGTTGTGTGAAAACAAAAGCGTTTTAATTTGTTGAGGCCTTCCTGTCGTTTGCGGCG